ACTTTTTGAAATATGGCAACCCTAGCTTTGTCTTTAGCTTGCTTTATAAACTGCTTGACAACAATTAGTCCTCATAACATTGGTTCATATGAACATATGTGTTCAAATGAATTGCCTCCAGTAGTATGAACCTTTAGAGTTTATATCAAAATCTACATAGCTATTACACAAAATCTCAAATATTTGCCTTCTTGAGCCCTCGTTATGTACAGATTTGGGTAGAGCTCAGCCTCTGTCTCTCAAAGCCTCGGTGTTATTCCCATTCTGAGAGGCCTCAATTCCACACACTTCAGATCAAGCCATAATGCTTGAGCTGGAAGAAAACTCTTCCCTCCAGCTAATCTGAATGAAAGCTACAACAGCGCAGAGAATAAAAGATGTGGCACTAATACGGCAGAAACAGGGCTGCTGCTCTCTCTTGGAGTTTATGAACATGACTCACAAGTGCTGGCTAAGATATGTCAAAATTGGTCTCCAGGTTAGTCTAATTATATGTGCGTAGTACATACTTGTTATGATGGAGCTGTAACCCTTCCATTCTGAAACAGTAACACATAATTCTGCCTCCAAAATTATAGCTAGCAAAATTGTTAAATAAGCTAGGAAGTAAGTGAGTAGACTAATGAATCCAGTAGGAGCTTTACTTCAAGGTTCAATTAAAGGCAAGGAATAGGATATTCTTTTCTTTTAATTTTTTGCAGGGGAAGAGAATAGCTTCTAAACATACTTTGGTAGTTCTATATGGCTACTTATTTTTTGCTATGCACGTTGGGTTGCATTCTCATGGCAGTTTATTCATTTCCTCAATGTTTCTCTGTTAATTTCCTTCTTATATTTGAGCTTTCACACGAGCTAAATGCACTTGCAGAGATATAACAAAATACAGCTCATGCCATTTGTTCCCAGAAAATGCTTGTAAATAACATGTTCCTTTGCTACTACATCTTTACTTGCTCCACATCACATATTGCATTAGGTATGGGGTAGGTGTGTCAGCTGGGCCAAATGTTGTGCACAGGTGATGTGCTGTCAGGCTGCCAGAAAAGCCCTTCTGTCTGTTGTCCCATGCTGTAAGCAGAAACAGACACACTGCTTCTCAGTAATTAACTTTATTGCTCAGTAGCCAAGGAGTCAGCACATGACACATCCATCGGATAAGCAAGTCAGTTGCAGAAGCTAAAGTACCTCTTCATCCCTTATTTATACCTCCCTCCTTGCATTATTTTTGCTGTGACTTGGCTTTTATTAATTGAGAGCGAGGGAGGGGAAGGAACCTCGCTGAGAGCGAGGGAGGGGAAGGAACCAAATCAGGACTGTATTGTAGAGCAGGAGGCACAGCCCTTGCGCCTTCTCTATCAGCGTCTGTGGATACTACAAGCCTCTCCCCTTCACCCAGTGGCGTAGCTAGCCAATTGGGTGCCTGGTGTGGGTGGGTGTCCTGTAGCCGGGAGCAGGGCGAGCCGCCCATGGGGGCGGGGTAATCTGCGCCCGTGGGGGTGGGGAGATCAGCCTGTGGGAGCGGGGCGAGCTGCCCATGGGGGCGGGGTGAGCCTCTCCGACGCCTCCCCTTCAGCTTTAGGACGGCTGAGGGAGAGGCAGTAGGCAGACGCAAGTCCCACACTGACATTTCAGGCAGTGCGAAACCTGCAGGCACCTAAGCCACCACGTCACTCCTCAAAAGTTCCGTGAAACCATTTTTTAATTTAAAAAACTCATTTTGTCACACGCATCCCTCAGTGATGACACCCTGCTTTTAGAAATGGAAACCTGCTTTTAGAAATGGAAAGGGCCCACCTCCCTTTTAAGTAGACAGTAGAGAACATGTTCTCCTTAATACGAAGAAATTATCCAGTCTTGTTTTTTTGCAACTCCTCCCTAGCAGCTCTTCATAAAAATATTGTCCCTGCTCCACCCACCAACCAACCAACCAACCAACCAGCCAGCCAGCCAACCAAAACCACATTACCCTTTGCTTTTAGGCAAGCTCTCTCCTCTGTATCCACTCATACCTAGACTGTGAAGAGCTGTATTTAAGTGGGAAAGCATCTGTTTTGCATGATGAAGATTCCAAGGTTCAAACCCTGGCATCTCCAAATGGGGCTGAGAGTGGCCCCTGCCTGAAATCGTGGAAAAGCCACTGTCAGTCATTGTAGATAGTACCAAGTCAGATGGTCCAATACTCTGACTTGGTATAAGCTAGCATTCTGTGTTCCTGTGTGTTCATTCTGGTACGCCCAACAATCCATTCTCAATAGCTAGGAAGAAAGCACAGTGAACACAATGATTTCCTCTGCCAGAGTACAATCCGGGTTTTGTCATACCTGCTTCTTGGCAACATCTGCATTCTTCACAAAACAGCCCAGTGGGGACCTTAGAAGCAGTTGGTATAAAACCTATATTTATATCTTTTATCTTAAGCAGGGGATTGGGGAAAGATGGCAGTGATCTCTAGACAGTGCTTTATTTCTGACAGAATGCCATCACTCCCTGCTCCACAATTGGCAGCCATTGTGTGCCGTGATACTTCTATCTAGATGTAAGTACTGACACCTCATTTCTTACCAAAAAAAGCACTGGATCAAGCTAATTGTTCACCTGCAGGTGCTGGTGCAAGTCCATGGAAATGTGGGGTGAGGGATGAAGAAGAACTCTGGAAAATGAGAGGCAAGTGTGAAGGAGCAGAACAGGATATGCATTCAAGTGGGAACTGAAGGAGTTTGAAAATGGTGTTGCAGTTTCCTGCTCTGTATGGTTTAGGTGTTCTTCTCTTCGCATATGGAGAGAGGCAGATTGACTGTTCTCTGTGGCTTTGTCTTGGGATGTCAGAGAATTCCAGCAGAAACAGGAACGGAAATTGCTAATATTTGCTTAAGTCCAGAGAAGTAATCAATCCAGTAAATGTGATTGTTGTTTTCATTCCACAAATGGTACCTAATTGATTAATTCCTGCCTCCCTTGTCATTATGTTTCCCTTGCATTAAAATAATGGAGTTGAATAACATAATTAATTCTATAAAAACACTTAAGAAATAGGTTAGTTTGAGAAATAGTGACTGGCTGACATGACTGACATGAGATGTGAACCTTGGTGTCATCAGTCCTAGTCTCACTAACCACTATGCTCTACTGGTTTTCCAGTGATTTAATTGCACAGAAATGGTTAACTAGAAGTGTTTGTGAATATAAAAAAATCTCCTTTTTGGAATTTTAGATTTTGTCTCCAGATTTTATGACCTTGTGTGATGATTCCCCCCCCCCCAAATAGTTCCCTCAAGCTGTTTGTTCTACTCCTGGATCCACTGCTGTAACTTCATAATATTAGGAAATGGACAAAAAGGATCACAATACATTTATTGAAATGGAATAATACAATGTAGGAACACTTCATGGAACAGTCTTTCTGTTTCATGCAGCTACATGATCTGTCAAGGGAGTCATTCTAAATCTTCTTTCTGGCCACTTGATGGAGGCAACAGCTTAAATACTTTGATCTGTTTTTTAAGTTGATGCTCGAGGTACTGTAGTTGATTAGATTCTGATTTGTACTGTAGTTTTGTGAGTTGTGTTTGTAGTCTCCATGTTGTGTGTCTGATGAACTTTATGTGTTATAAACATACAGTGAAAACCATTTGCTGGAATAACAATTACAACCCATCATTACTGCTAAACACTGAACTAGGATCTATTCGGCTATATCCTAGAATGAGAAGTTTAGTAGAATGCAAATATTCTTAAGTGCTTCATATTTTAACATTTACCGAGGTAGCAGCATGATTCTAAAGTAAAAAAGAAAATGGACATGGGTAAAAGCAGTGTATATCTTCTTTAAAAAGTAAAATAAAATCTTAGTTCTCAATTCAGGTAGGTACCTGTGGTGGTCTGACACAGTCAAAATAAATGGAAAAATATAAAAAATTGTCCAGTAGCACCTTAGAGATCAACTAAGTTTGTTCTGGGTATAAGCTTTTGTGTGTATCTGAAGACGTGTGCATGCAGAACAAACTTAATTGGTTTCTAATGTGCTACTAGACAATTTTTTAATTTTTTAATTTATTTTGACTTAGTTCTCCAGTTTTGATTAAAATCACACTTATTCCTGTGGTACCAACGTCATGACCACCCACTTTTCATATTCACTACATCCTAAGCAGCAACTTCTTTTTTGTAGTAATTCCATCCCAGTTTCCATGAAAGGCACCAAAATCCAGCATAAAGGCTCTCCTGACAATCACTTTTGGCTTTTAAATCCAGAATTTGGACCCAGTCATTTTGACCCCAGCCATTTTAAGGGAAACACATGCTGAGATTCTTTGTGCAGCTGGAGACTGTTAGTTCCAGCTTTGAGACTGCTGACTTTGGCACGCTGAGAGCATCTGGGCAAACAAGAGAAGCGGAAGGTTCCAGAGGGGCTTGGCAGGCTGAAAAGAGCTTGTTCTGCCCAAAGTCAGTTTTGGACAGCTGGGTGTTGAGTCCAGGCTGCCGAATGATGAGGCTCAAATAGCTACAGGTGGAATAGCTGAACTCAGAGCATTGAGAGCTGTGCACACAGGGGGCCTGAGAGTAGCGCATAGCTGTCAAGAGCTGCTCAAGAGAGAATAAAGAGGTAACTCAAGTAGAAGGAAGGAAGCAGTGATTCATAGAGTGGAATAATCCAGGGGAGTGCTCGGTTTGGCATTTTTTGTTTTTAATTCATGATTTTGCATAGCAAAATCAGCCTTGTGCATGTAGATAAATATTCAGATCCCTTTTGTGTACAGGAGGAATATTCGGAGGAAAGCTAATTCTTGTAAGAATAGCGTAATGTTTCTAAGCAACAGAAACATTACTCTTGCTCAATTTTATAATTTGTATTGATTCATAATAGCACCTCCAAACAATTTTAAGGGAAATGGATCAGTCTGCTTATATTCACTGTTATTAAAATTGAAGACTGAATCTAATTAGTAAAATAACTTTTTTTAATCAATACACATGGTAACATTACATATATGTTCTTACAGGTGATGGTGAACTGAAACAGGACTCTGTATCATGCCTTGAAGTAAGTAGAGTTTGTATCTTAGTGTTGTTGCTTATTCTGTCGCATCATAATGATTTATCTCTTAATATTTTGTCCCAAGCTTCTTCTGAAAAATGGCAACTTGTCATGACAGATGGGTCTGTACAAATGCTTGTTTATTTTCATCTGAGGCAAGATCAGGGAAGGGGGGCTGTTCACACGATAAGTTCTGAAAAAAACAACACTTTAACCTATCATTTGTTCAGACTTACAATGTGAGATTCAGAATTTGAACTGAGTTGAATTAGAGGTTGGCAGTCACTGAGTGAATCAGAAGTTCTGGACGGATTCACATAGACCCTACTTGGTACCTTAGGTTGAAAGCATTGGGAGTGTGGAGCAATCTGAGAGAATAATTCCTTAGATATACTTTCGAGTTAAATTCATTTTATTTTTAATTTTTTTTGTTAAAGTTTATGAAATCTATACGTTTTGGGGGAAAGCACAGTTTTGAAATACTGTGACTTCAGAATAGGCATGATCCAATCCAGAAAGTTGTTTTGAAGTAGCTCAGTATGTAGAGCACATTCTTTTTTTCCACTCAACAATACATTTACAAACAGTAAAATGCCTAAAAATAAGAGGAAGTATATTGGGCCTATTGTTTGAAGGCCAATTCTTTGCTAAAAGACGAGTTTCCTTATATCAATCATAGTCTATTGAAGGAGGTTATGCCATTGCAGTATTGGTACAGCTCGCATTACATTCTTGGTCCTAATTGGTATAAGTGTGGGTTCTCTGCTAAGTGATAGAACACCTTCTTTACATGCAGAATATCCAAAGTTCAGTCCCTGGGATCTCCAGGTAGGTCTAGAAGAGCCCCTGCCAGTCAGTGTAGATGATAATGAGGAAGATGGGTCAACAGTCTGAATCAGTATGAGGCAGCTTCCTGTGTTCCTCGCTTGTATAAACTGTTATTGTGTCAAATCAGTTCCATGATTTCTCAATGAAATTGAGTAAATTTTGATTTCATGTGAAGATAATTTTACCTTTGAGTTACACTAAGATGGTTGAATCCTAACTACCTCGCTCATTCCCTAATGTAGTCCCTATGTCCCCTGAGAGACAGGTGACACTTGAGAAAGGTGTGGGATTGCTGCTGAAGAGTAAAGTTGGGTGGAAGATGCAGAACCCACCCTTGTGCAACTATATATGCCATCTTCATGCACTAATATCTGTTCGAATCCTGCTCTTTGCAGATTATTTAGATGTGAGGGAGAGATGCATGAGTGAATTGTATTTCCTGTTGTTGTGCAGCTGATGTCATGTTCACAAAGGATGTTGAATAAGGGAAGTTATAGACTCCGCATAAAAATCTAATGAGCAGTTTATGTGCTACAGTAGTTTATAAAGACATACAGAACTGCTGAGCTTGAAGTTCTATATGGGACGAACTAAAGTGTTGAAACCACGGCTGCTACAACTTTATTGTTGTTACTAAAAAAAACAATAATTTTAAGAATAAGTATGATAAATCCTTGAAAGTAGTTTTCATTGCACCAACTCTTTTTGAAGGAACTCTTGTCTGCAGCAACGTGCCAGGCTACTTCTGTATTCTGCGCAGTCTACAAAGTCTTCACAATCATCTTTTGAAAGCTAATATGTAGGGGATTTTGAAATTTTGAAATCAATTAATAATCTACTGAATCATTTCCCCAGTGCTCTTCTTTTACTCTCAGATTTTATTACTCTGTCTCTACTGAGTGGTTGCAGACGAGCAGATCATTAAAATATTTATTTTGTCAATTGTTCTCCTTTTTCAAGATTTGAATTATTCATATGTTTCTCTTGGGTTGCTAGCATGTTGTTGAGAATGCTAATTGACCTTATTTTATTGTTTGAAATAATAAGAGAATTGAAGACATTTTTTTTCTGAACCAGACGATTCAGTTTCAACTCAACATGTCTTTTCCAAAACATTTTCTCACTTCTTTCTATTTCCCTCTTCTGTTGTGCATTGTTTAGACAGTTTTGAATTTTCAAATATGCAGAAAGGATTTTTATATTTAATGCAGGATTTTTAGATTCTCTTCTAAGAAGTGCAGTGCTGGGAATTCTACAGTTAATGCTGGATGCAGTGTTTTGGCACACTGAGAACTTTTTATATGCATTATCTCAGTAATCCTTTCAGTTGACCTACAAGTTAGATCAGTATTATTATCCCCATATTGCTGTGGGTGGCTGAATGTCATCTAGCACGTTCATAGCACAAATGTAAAATTTGAACTGGGAAATTTTCACAGCTCATATTGTAACACTTATCTGTCTGTCTGTCTGTCTGTCTATCTTGTCTAATGTTCACCCTGCTTTTTAAATGAAAGAGGGCCCCAGATTGGCTTATAAATATCAGTAATAAGATAGTCCCTGCTCATAGGTTTATAATCTACATGACACAAAAGGAAAAGCAATTTGGAAAAATTGGAAAAGGAAAAGGCAGATTTCAGAACTAGTTATTAGTTAATGTTTTAAAAGGGATCCAGGTTGGTTGTTCCGAATGAGTTTGTACAAATCATCAATAAATATAGAATCACCAAGCGTACAGAAGAACAAGTCTTGCTGAAGAAGAAAACAGCATGGCGTCTGCAAGAATAAGCACAATAGAGTTATTTGAATGTCAATCAGCATATAGATAAAGGGGATCCAGTCAACACTGTGTGCTTAGACTTTTAAAAAACAATTTGATGAAGGCTTGCAACTTTTAAGGAAAGTTACTTCCTGGAAAGTTACGTGACCCAGAAGTGTCTGCGGACAGTGCTGGCTCCCGGCCTCTAGAGTGAGATGAGCGCACAACCCTAGAGTCTGTCAAGACTGGCCCGTATGGGCAGGGGTACCTTTAATTTTACCGTTACTTCCTGAAATGATTACCTGTTTCAGTAATGACCGCTCCCTGCTTAAAACGGGGGGTGCCCTTTGCGTGGACGCGTGCAGCCCTAGATCTGGAGCGGCCCCATCAGCATAGGCTTGGCTTTGCCTTCCCTCAGGTAGGATACCTGGAGGTCTCCGCCTATCTCAGTCAGATGTCCAATCCCACCTGGGGGAAGCGTTGCCAAGGAGACCAGGCCAGGTAGGGGAGGGATTACCTGCCCACACAATAGAGGGAGGATCTTACCTGGGAATCCTCACTTGGCTCCAGGCGGCGATACCAGGGTTCCCCGTTAAAGGGGTTTCTGAAGGGAGGCTTTGACCGTACGCCGAAAGGTCGTCATTACTCTCCCCTGCGGCGGCGGCATAACGGGGGCGGCTATCTCTGCTTGAACATATGTTCTCCAGAGCCGGCCCATCCCCCCCCCACACTGGATAACCCTGAAGCTCCCTAGGTCCCCGGCTGGGGACTGGGGAGGGAGAACGCCCAATGCCTGAGCCAAGGTCTACCCACATTTGAAATTTAATAAAGTTGTGGCCAATTTAATCCCATAGCACGTTGTCTTCAGTCGTTATTCCACATGTCGGGGGGGCCCGCTCGGGATCTGGGGACTCCGCCTGTCCACGCAATATCTGTATTTCTCCATGTAAATCTTTTCTACTTCCAAGTGAATACCAGTAAAAGGTAAGAGGCGAGGGTCTTATACCCACGGATATCTGAACAAGTGCCCTGTATGTGAACCTGCTGTTTACTGATTCTCTTAGATAGTTGTCTTCTTCAATTTCATTTGCAAATCAAATATGGTCCAAACCCAATTTGTTTTACATGGCATTTTTTTTGCTTACAGTATTTTTCCATATTTCATGATATACGAGTAGCACTGTGGTTTACAAGTGAGCATTTAGTCTTCTCTGCAATCATTTTGCAGCTGCTGAATATTTATATTCTTACATCAAGCATACATGAATCCTACTATAATTCCTTAATGCAAATGTGACATTTTATGCTGACTTTGTAATATGTAAAGAATGTTCTGCTGAAGTATGATAAATTCTTAAAAAAACCACAACCCATTCCTGACCCCCTTACTTAGTACAAGTCTTTACTATCATTGGCCTTCCCTGTTTCACTTTATATTGTGTGTGACCCTTGGTAAGTAAAAGTGTAATTTGTGTCCTTGTGCAAGTAATTTCTTTTATGTTTGGTGGGTCAGCTGGATGCTTTCCTAAAATAAAATTTGATCCACTAACTACTCTGAGCTGATCCCTAATGAATGATTAGTGTTATTGGTTCTCCTGGAGAACTTAGGAGTTTCTTCTTCAGCTTAGCTTTATTTGCTTCCATTCTTTGGTCCATGGTATACATGGTGTCTGTTGGACCTTTTAATCCCTTGTATTAACAATATCTCCATTTTTGTTGCTCAGTTCTCCTTCTTTACTTTCCAGTTTCTTTGCCACATAATTCCTTTTAAACCACCTTGACCTTTCTATGGTCAGCTGTGCTTGATTTGTAAGGACATTTCCACATTCAAAATTCACCAGAATAAAACTTCTCCAGTGCTTCTTTACTTGCCCTTCTTATGGCTGGGTCATTAGTTGATACTTTTGGTAATTGTGGTGAGCTTGGCACTATGTATTCTGCATTCTGTATAGCACTAGGCCTTAAGAACTTAAAAGAAACATTGGATCAGACTACAATACCTGGTTTATCATACTGCTCCCCACAGGAAGGCTGCAAGCAGGGCATGAAGGTGACAGCACTTTCCTGCTGTTTTCATCCTAGCAACTGATTAATATAAACTCAGAATTTGGCTAATTGCAAAATTTGGCTTGCACAAAATGTGGCAGTGTGAAGGGCTCCTGTTCACAAAGCCAGCATGAATTACATCACCATTCTGTGGTTACTGAATATGCTGTCTTCATTAATATTTTGGTGTTGTTTGGGGAAATGATGCAGGTAATATGCAAACCAGTGGCACTGACTTGCTGCCCAGCATTTCCTATAATGGCCTTATTCAGATGCTACAGTAAACCATAGTTTGAAACAAAATTTCACACAATGCTGCTCCCCTACTTCCACTGCCAAAACAAGCCAGAGTTTGGTTCACTGTGTTGTCTGA